GGGTTTAGGGTTTAGTGGTTGAGGGTTTAGGTATCAGGCTCCGGGTTTGGAGATTCTGGGGTTTCTTATCAAAATTGTAGTATAGTGGGCCCAAAAACCCTGTTCTAATGATCAAGGCGCCTACATTAGCGTATTATAGGGGTTTAGGGTTCAAGGTTTCGGCCAACATCCCCGTACACTCAGTATGCACTGGGACATCGTGGTATGCCGCACACTCTGGATATCGGGCTTAGGGTGTGTAAAGCTTAGGTGGTTCCACCCCGTCGTCCAAATTGCTGGAAGACATGGAGGAAGGGTCAACTTTGAATGTGCGCATCATCTACAAGTGCAACGAAGCCGGGCAACCAGTGCTCGGAAGCATGGATCCTATCAACACCATTCGTGTGTTGGACATGCAGGAGTCACTGGGATCGCATCTGGCGCTTCTGTTTGCAAGTTTTGGAGCGCCTGCAGAAGCGATTCAGGATTACATGCTGAAGGCAGTGATATTCCTAGCAAGCGGCACCTTCCAGAGCGTACAAGTGCAAGCACAAGATCCTGTAGCGGAGGTCTTGAAGGTATCCAATACCATTTTGTTGTTGCATGATTTGGGATGTCTCTAGATCCTTATATCTGTGTTTTGTGCAGCACGTTTCTAGAGCAACATGCGTTGTAACTAGCGAGCTTGATGTGGGGTTTGTTCGCAGGCTTGTCATCAAAAATCGTATCTTGATGTGTTGTCGTTCTGCCTATGTTATGGCTTTGTTTTCACTAGACCAAATAACTCTAAACCGCAACCCCTCCAGCCTAATCCCTAGGCCCTGCCCCACAGCCCTCAAACCGAAAACCAAACTCCACAACTAAGGGAATAGCAGCTCTGCCTGCCCCGACCGCCAAAAAAAAACTCCAAATCCTAAACGCTCAATCCTAAACCTTGATGTGAACGCTTGACCTTACCTCAAGAGGCAAGGCAGCCAATGCTAAGTCGAGGGACTTGGGCACCCTCCTCTAAAGGTTTAGGGTTTAGGGTTCAGGGTTTTGGTTTAGGGGTTCCGGAACCCAAAGGCAGGTGTGTATTTGCCTTTGACCTAGATCGCCCAAAGCCGGCAACCTCAAACCCCCAAGGCCGAGACCGCGAACCCTAGATCCTCAAAGCCATCAGGGCTTGGGGGTTGGCGGTTTGGGGTTTAGAGTTTAGTCTAAGGACTTTAGGAGGGACCCCTAATGGGGACCCTTAATCCCATTTCCTTAAATAACCACTGTATAGTCCTTATATACCCCTTATATAGCCAGGTAGTCTCCATATTAACCCCAATAACCTACAAGGGTCCCTGTTAAGGGTCCCTCCTAAAGCCCTTAGCGGGAAGCCCTGACAACCCGAATCCTTAAACCAATCCGGTGCGCTAGGGGCAGTTGATCCCGAAGAAAGATGTCGAACCCTTAGACCCTATAAGCCACAAGAACCCTGCCTTCCCCCAAAACCCTAAACCCTAAAATGCCGACTCACTCGGCGAGCTACCCTAAACACCCTAAACACCCTTCAAAAGCAAGCCTACCTACATAGTCTCCATTCTAGTTCCCTTTAGGGTCATCCTTTAGGATCCTCACTTTTAAGTTTATTAGTGTCATTTAGTGTCTATTTGTTCTAATATACTATAATATATATCACATTATAGTATAGTTTGATATAGTATATTATATTTATAGTATAGTATATCATAGTTATTAAACCCCAAACCCCTACAACAAACTCAAACTCAGTTTTTGCTTTTGAACAGATGGAGCGCCAGATCGAATCCGACCCCCGCAGGGCTCCAAGGAAGCGTTGGAGGAAAACAGGGCTGCAGATGGCTTCCAAGTAACTGTTTTAGGGGTTTAGGGGTTTTGTTTTTGGGGTTGGGGTGTAGGGGTTTAGAGGGGTTCAGGGGTTTGGGGTTTAGGGTTTAGGGTTTAGGGCTCTAAACGGAATTCTATAGGGCTGCCTTTTAAGGTTCAGAGTTTTCAGGGTTTTAGGATTTATTGGCTTAGGGTTAATGATGAAGGGTTACCTATAGTGTGCTTCGTAGTTCGTCTCTGTTGGTTTAGCCACTTTTTAGTTGGGATCCTGTAGGGTAACCCAAGAAAGAATGCAAAAGTAGGGCTCTAGAGCTTTGGGGTTTCGGGATTAGGGCTCTCAGGTTCCAGGATGTGGAGTTCAACTCGGAGGATTAAGCCGTAAATTTGTAAATCCTGAACTTTCCTATGCGCTATACATATATATATATATGTATGTATGTATGTATGTATATATATATATGTTTGTATAGATCGGGGTCGGAATATTTGGCCGTTTCCTGGTATGATATTTAAGTATTTATATAATGCCAACCCCTGCTGAGTCCTCTATGTTCTGCTAAGTTCAATGCTTAGCTACAATCCGGAAGATATCGAATGATGAACACTCGAGTTGCGCGACGAAGGTCAGCAACGCACGGAGGGTGTGGAGACAATGATGGAGGCTTCTTGGCAATCGTTCATTTGGCGTCTGCCGTATGTTGTTCATAATTCAATGTGGTTCTCGGTGTTGGAGCGTCTTGTTAAGATCTAAGGACTTTAGGAAGGACCCATAATGGGGACCGTTAATCCCATTACCTTAAATAACCATTGTATAGTCCTTATATACTCCTTACATAGCCAGGTAGTCTCCATATTAATCCCAATAACCTACAAGGGTCCCTAGTAAGGGTCCCTCCTAAAGCCCTTAGTTAAGACCTACCTTTCTTTGTGTTTTGAGCAGCGGATAGAGATTGAGGGCTTACGGCTTTCACACACGGCGTTTCAACAAAGTCGTACAAGCACCGAAAGCCAAAGACACATCGACTCCGACCTCCCACCCCCTAAATCCCTACATCCTAAACCCCAAACCCTAAACCCCCAAACCCTAAACCCCTAAACCCCTGGTCCCCTACAGCCCTACATCCTAAACCCCTATAGACCCTAAACCCTTAAACCCCTAAACCCCTATACCTTAAACCCCTAAGCCCTAAACCCTAAACCCCTATACCCTAAACCCCTATAGACCCTTAGCCCTAAACCGCCCGACCTCCAAGTACTGGTAGAGCTCTGCGTTCAACCGGAGGATTCGTGTGTAGTCCAGTTTTCTCTTTAGGGACACAAGGGTTTTAGGGTTTAGGGCCTTGATGGGAAATTCGGATTTTATCTACGTCATGTCGGGTTCTGAACAATTACTGTCAGTATCCGCATATAGTCTTGTAATCCATATGAACCTGCAATCATATTGTCGCTGCGGGGTCTGTGTTGGACGGATGTGCGTTCTGGGGAAGTCTGAACTTCGTACTCTTGCAAGGCATCAAAAATGAGGAGTGCTCTGGGACTGTCAAGCTCTAGATGTTCTTGACTGCTGCGCGCAGTGAGCGGGTGCGCTTTGTCAACGTCTGTGTCTGTGTGTATATATGGATATCTCACTATCTCACTCACACACTCTCTCTCACACACACAGGCTCTCTCTCTCTCTCTGTTTCTGTTCCGGTGCCTTAAACCATGCAAAACAAGCCACGAGAAACTTGAACCCTCGCCTCAACACTAGCGCACTCTGAACCCTCTTCTACCGTACACTGCAACCCTTCCATGTGGACCGCCGCCCTCCCCCAACGACTTTTCTAAAGCCACTGTCTGGTGCTTAGTAGGGAATGGGGGAATGGATCACTATGATAGTCCCTTAAGGTCCCTTATAGTAGCCCCTATAACTATAATCAATTCCCCCATTCCCTTCTAAGCACCAGACAGACCACCGATCCCAGGTGCACGTCGTCGGGCTGAGCCACCACAGCGCGCCGGTTGAGGTTCGCCCCGAGCTGGCGCGACCTAAGGGGCTGACTATCCCTCAAGCTAAGCCTGGTAAAGCATTAGGGTTTAGGGTTTATAAGAGTTTAGGGTTTATCGTAGATTTCATACACCGAGAACTCCAACGAACAAGGTTTATATGGTTACTTAAATACTGAAATCGTAGAATTCATACATACACCAAGAACGCCAAAGAGCAAGGTTTTATGGCTAACTTTTACTGAATGAGTTTCCTGCCCTACTCTGCTGCAACTTCACGGAAGGATCACGGAGGACTTAAGGAGGGCTTCAGCCAGCGAGTTACTTTGCCCGTCGGCGATCAGTTTTGGTCTAGCGTTTTAGGGGTTTAGGGTTGAGGGTTTAGGGTTTAGGGCTACGTCTATTGATTGTTGCTGAAAATGGTTAAGAGCACAGAGGGCAGGCCAGGCCGCAGATATCAACGAAAAAGTGAAAAGCTGACCTATCATCGGTTGAGAGCGAGCTCAGGGCGTTTCTGGTGACAATTGCATTTGCCAGGTTTGGATACATGGACTTTTCAACACAAAGCTGGAGTAAGACTTCGCAGAAGAGAACGGAGGCTTTGATAAAGCCGTCTCCTCCAAGTCATGACGCTTCCCCAGCTCCAAGAGATCACAGAGGCCAGGATAGAAACGCCCGAAGACCCGCAAGAGGGTCTAAACCTCAAGCCTGACCTGGAACACGACGACATCTTCAAAACATCTCAAACAGCCCCCTCATTGAATTCTCACCCTACAATGCTACGTAGCTGCATGGCACTCGCAACTCTAATCCCTGTAAGCCCCAAGCCCTCATCCTTAAAATGCCGAATCCCTAAACCGACCTAAACCCTAATCCCAAATCCATAACCGCATGTAAATCCTCGATCGACGAAGGTCCGCCAGAAGCTTGCAGTGGCTGAGGCGAAGTGGAACGAGTACGCGCAGGAATTCCTGGTTTAGGGGTTTAGGGCTTCAGGGTTGGAGGGTTTAGGTTTTTAGTGGTTGCGGCTTCAAACTTTAGCTTCTGAGGTTGTTGACAAGATTGTGGTTGGCTGGCCGATTCCCGAAATCAGGGTTCTCAAGTTGTGTAGCAGCCCTACTGGCTCCCAAAAGTAACTCGACGTGCAGTGTATCTTAGCCGGTCTGGCCAGGCACTGTTTTACTTGGCTGCGTCCATGACAGTTGCAGACATGGTGTAGTCTTTGCCCAGCACTGTCTGGAAGGCTGCAGTCGTAAGGATCTTATTCTTTACATAGGAGACATACGGGAGTTTCCGAAAATTGGGGTACCTTATTTTGGGGTCCTTATAATAAGGATCCTATTATTTAGGGTATTATATTATGGTCTCCTTATTTTCGGAAACCCCCACATGGGAGACATACGAAGATTTACCCACAGGTGGTAGGTAGTGTTTTGCCTGACATCCAGAGCTGCAGGACTTGATCCAGTTCGCCAGAACCTCCAACGGCTACGTTGTGCCTGAGGCACGGTGCATATGCAGTCTGAGGAGCCGTGGATACAGGCAAGCTCAGGGGGTCAGTATGTTTCAATGTATCGCATGCTGATGGCGTTTGCAGCATGATGTGCCCTGCAGCCCAGTATTCGGGGCCATCTCGGGCTTCGAGCCGCCAACCTGGAACAACTACAGTGCTATGGGTTCGAGCTTCGCAGGTAGCCGAATTGCGTGTACTTTTGTTTCATAATGTGCGATCCCCTAACGGCCGCTCACCCTCGAACGCTAGGCAGCCGTGCTCTCCACCTGCACCTCAGCTGCTGATATGGCATGCATCTCTTGGTTCCGCCCAGGGAGCCCACCAGCCTACAATGATTCTAATCAAAGACCAGACGCTTTAAATATCATACCATGGATGCCCCTAGCTCAATTCTCTTGGTTCCATCTTGTGCGCCTGCGAATTCCCAATATGCCGTAATTAATAATTGGAAAGTGCTTTGGGCCATAGCATGGTACACTCATACAAGGCCTATAAGAAGTTCTGAATACTACTGCTAATTATCCCGACCCTCATATTCGAATGTCGCACCCAATACCATGCCCAGGGTGCGGGTGTGTGTTCGCAGTCATGATGTCTATGAGAATCCAGCTGCTCCTCCTCCTGACCAGGAGGGTGTAGGGTTTAGGGTTTAGGGTTTAGGGTTTAGGGTTTAGGGTTGAGGAGTAGTACCTCGTATCTGCAAGAGTTTACCAGTGCGAGTACTGTGCTTCTGCGGATGCAGTGGGTGACGGCAACACCCGAAAACTGAGCAACCCACAGTATGTTGGAGTGACTGGTTGTCGCACTCCGAACGGTTAATGCTTGTGGAATTCCAGGGGTCGGGATAATTGAAAGCAGTAACTCTTCATAGTTTCTGATGCGGCTATACAATAACTGACCCAAAAACCCTGTACATTTTTTTTTTAAGAACCCTACGTTACATGGATGCTGCGCCTGGGGGGTGCTGGCCACCCGGACAATTAATGACAGAAAGAGCCGAAGCTCCCGCAAGGGGTTGGTTCTTAACTTCACCTATACAGGGGCCCAAAGGACCACATCAACATAAGGATCTCGCAGTGAAGGTTTTATCGGATTCTACGCTGATATAAAGACCCCTATACATGCAATCGTTAAGGCCGAAAGGAAACAAATTGGATTTCCATGTTTGACGTCCAACATGTATAGCAGTGACACAGCCGTGCCTTACGAACCGTGGTGTTTGCCAAGATTTCAGGAAGATTCCGTCTCGAAGGGAGTTCGGAGTCTCTTCGTACCCGGTACAACCTCGTAAGGCCCACAACCGGTCATGTTTGAACCTCCCAAAACCCGAAACCCAAGCTCCCAAGACCCTAAACCCCAAAACGCTAAAGACCCTAAAACCCTAAGCTCTTAGCCGTAAACCCCAAAACTCTCTAAGCCCTCAACCCTACAACTCAAAACCCCAGCCCCTAAAACCCCCCAAGCCCCACAACCCCTAACCCCTAAACCC